TTTCATCACTATTTACCTTAGGGTAGCTCTCTCTGCATTGTGATACCCTTACCTCTCCTACTGATCTATAATGATTTTTTAAACAAAAATTCCAGTTTGATTCATTTGTAACTGCTTCATAACAGCAAGGACAGGGTCTTGATGCATCACCTATCGGAAAACAAGGCCCTGAGGAATGGTGCTGAGACTAAGAGGGGAGAGGGGAGCAGAATCAGGTCACTGGAAAAATAGATACCCTGTGCAAAGGGCGAGCCTGCAGTAAAACAAAGTCAAACTTTGACAACAGGAAATGCAAAAGAGAAGCGAAGAGACCTAATAGTTGACACTTAAAAATTCTCTTCCAGTTGATATCCTTGGGATTTTCATTTCTAAAATAAAAGCAAAAGAATGCTCATGGTTTACATAATAGACAGTAGCTTCCTATATTTTAGCAACCAATGCCTTGGACTGAACATTCATATGTACACATTTGAACTTTCATGTTAACATTTACCATCATCAATATAGAAGGAAAGCAAGTTCATGCCACTACTTGCAATGCTATTAGTCCTAGAAATACAGAGGTCTGGCTCTTGTCAGTAGGATCATAGTTTCAGGGACTTTATAAAAAAAAAAAAAAAAAACTATGACACTTGTAAGAACTATCCCTTAAGTCACTAAAGAAAGGCCATCAAAATAAACAGCAAGTCGGCAGAAGGGCAAAATTTAAGCAGTACTTTAGCAGTGCCAGCATTTCCTGTGCGTTACAGTTTTCTCTCCCTGATAGTCTAGTGAATTTTTTCAGATCTCAGGGAGGCGGTTCTATGCCTGTGTTCAGAGAGTTGAAAGAGTAAAAAGGGGTTTCAAAGTTGAGCAAAATGACATGGATCGTGACCTTGCAGTGCTTACAGTCTGGAAGGAAGTCAACATTAGTCAGATGACTGCACAAAGAAACACAAAATTGTAATGAACTACAGTTATATGAGACCATATAACAAGAGGAATCAATCTGGTCAGGCGGAGAAAGAAAGGCTTCCTTCAGGAAGTGACTATTGTGTTGAGACGCTGGGCAAAAATGAGTTGGGAGTGGTGATCCTCTTAGGGAGAAACAACCAAACACAAAGACCTAGATGAGAGGTCACATGGCAGGGAGGCAGGAAAGAAGAACTGAAAGGCCTCTGTTTCTGGAATGCGCGAAGGGAAGGGAGCATGGTGTGAGAGAGTTGGGGTATTTAGAAAAGTGGGAAACCATGCAGGGCATGGTAAGTAGTGATAAGGAACTCTGTCTATATTCGAAGAGTAATGGTCTTTAAAGAGGTGTTACATCTTAATTTTGTATTTTGTAAAGCTCTCCTGTGCTGTCTATGGAGAACAGACAGACTAGGTGCGCCAACGGAAGTGGGCAGATCATTTAGGAGGCCTCTGGAGTAGTCCAGGGGAGAGATTATGGTAGCTGGGACCAGAGTGCTGATGATCTCAAATGGAGAAAAAAGGATGAATTCAAAAAAATTTTTTGGGTAAATATGACCAAATTAGGTGATGGAATTTGTGGAGTGAAGGAGAGAGGTGACAAGACAATTCCTAATTTTTCTGGTATATGGTGAGGTCATTTACTGAGCCCAAGAATATCGAGTGTATTTGGAGAGATGACCAATAGCCCAGTTTGCAACACGTTAAATTTAAGGCCGTTAGGTAATCAGATATATCAAGTTGGAATTGACTGGCACTGAATACACAAATCTGCGAGAGTCATTATAAAGTTTGCTTTCTCTGAGAATTTTTCATTCTCCCTTCTTTACAAAATGAGCTCAGCATGATATAACATGTTTCCTCTCTGTTCCACCTTTTGGGATTATTGACCCTAATTCACGTAACTGCTTTAGCACTCAAAGCTTGCATATTACTTTGTCTTATCGATAACCCTAATTTTCCTACCTGTGATTTTGTGGCTGAAGTATCTGGGATGATTGCAAGCATACAAATATACACCTAAAGATATTAAGCATAAAAAAAAATGCATCTGGTTGAGAGCACACACAAATTTTTTTTAAACTACCTCATAGAGATAATACAAAAATCAAATTTAAGTTTATTAAAAAGTACTGGAAAGTGTCCAATTATAACGTGTTGGTCATTTTTTTTTTTTAAAGATTTTAGTTTTTTCCTTTTTCTCCCCAAAGCCCCCCGGTACATAGCTGTATGTTCTTCATTGTGGGTCCTTCTAGTTGTGGCATGTGGGACGCTGCCTCAGCGTGGTTTGATGAGCAGTGCCATGTCCGCGCCCAGGATTCGAACCAACAAAACACTGGGCGGCCTGCAGCGGAGCACACGAACTTAACCACTTGGCCACGGGGCCAGCCCTATGTTGGTCATTTTTATCAGTGGTTAAGCCACTGTCAGTTAATGTTACCAGAGTTGATAATTTACAAACTTTAAACATAAGGGAATTTGTTTCAGAAAAATAAAGGTATTTTAAATAGTTTACTTAATGTCATTAAGAATACTTAATAGTTAGAAGGTATATTAGCCTTGTAGAGTGATTATCATTGCTGTTATGTATATAACAAATTACCTTTAGATACATATATACATGTGTATATATTTATACAGGCATGGACATCTGTTCTGACTATCTTTTAAATTCCTCAGTGCTTTAGTTAAACAAGAAAGAACAGCAGAAACAGTATTTTACTGGCCGAGGCTAACTGAAAATTCCACAGTAAGAAAAATAACCATCATAACAACCACCACCACCTCAACAGTCCTGCACTAACAACTAATGGATATTCCATTGCCTCATTATTTTACTATTTCTCCATTCATTACCTTCCTCAAGCAAGTTCCAAGTATTCCATTTATTTTTTTAAAGGGATTTTAATGGACGTGCTATGAATTTTCAATGAGCTATTTGAAATTTGAGGAAGCTAATTAGGAACACACTTACTTTCTCTTTTTTGAGGGCCAGTAACTCTATGCAAGACTTCCAGCCTAACGTTACTCCCAAGAAAAAACAGAAAGGGGAAAGCAGGTTCTACTTTTATAGACTAATGGACTAGCAATTAAAAAAATTGAATTAAGCATTAACTCAGAAGAGTTGTTTTCAATATATAAATTATTTCTGTTTAGCCTATTGCCAGGTTAATTAAGTAAATCCTTTGGCCTTGATTATAGCCATTAGTAAATGAAAATGTATTTGAATTCACTAATTCTTATGATTTACACTAGGGAATCTATGTCAGTAAATATAATTCCTTTGCTAACAGCTTTCATAAAGTCAGATGTTTTATTTAGAAAAAGTCAGCCTTTATCCATGGAAAACAAAGATTCATTAATTGTCTAATCAATTGTTGGGCAGATAAATCTCTGGAGTTTCTTGTGGGATTGCCTTAAAAAACAAACCCTATACATTTTCATATTTTCAAAATATGTGAAATCACCTTAGGCTTAGCCAGGGTCTTCCATTTCTTTGCAAGAAGAAAAAGATGAAAAATCTAGAATATTTTCTTCAAGTTGCTTTACTTAATAAAAGCTCAAGGACCAAAGCAATGAAAACAATTCTCAAGATAAATGAATAAAGCATGCACAAAAGGAGCACAAGGTAATAAAATATACATAGAAAAAACCTCCACTAAAATAACGATTTGTAATCTATCTTCTGCAGAGTCAGACTCATCATTTTATGCCACAGTTATAGTTCTAATGAATTAACCTCAGTATAACCTAATATATCCTTTTTGTTTATGTCTTAAAAGTAGTTCTTCCCCATTACTTTGAGCACACTAGCAACAATATACTGGCTGCCTGTTTTAAATCTTCTGCAATTGGTAGCACCATGATTCAGAAATAAATCCTTCGCAACAGTCTCTATGTTCCCTTAAGGACATAGACCTTTTTGTTGTTTGCATACTGAAGCTGTGGTATGTTGCAAAACAAAACTAAGGCTATTAAATATCTCCTGCCCATTGCCTTCCAGGAAATTTCGATTGCCAGGTGCCTAATTACAGACACATAATCTAAGCTCTATCAAACGTTTGCTCTCTATAAAATGTATCCATAATCATTTCTGTGTGTTCACATTGTGATACAAATATAACCTTAAGAGCAGCAAGAGATGCCTTTATAGAATATTTGGTAGAAAAAGAAAAAAAGAAATACATCAAATTTAACCCAAGTAAGCTAGAAAAATGGCAAACAGTAGAATCCTAACTATGGCCTAGGAAAGTCCAAACTTTTCCAGACAAATTTTCTTTACTTTTCGAATCCCATGAACATAAATAATCATATAATTGATGCATTTACCTGATTTATCCAGTAATTAGAAAGCCCAGAGACAAACATGGAGCTGGGAATTTTGTTTTGGGTGGCATACAGTACATTATGTTACCCATTTTGTAGACTCTTCATGTCCCCTGATTTCAATTCATTTTTCTACCTGTGCTTTCCCTTTTCTTTAGTTTTTTCAGCATGCATATTTATAGGCTGCCATAAACTCTCCTTCAATGACCCAGAGAACATGTCATTCAAGAAACTAACCAATCAGGAAAAGTGCTATTTATCCCACCAGCCCCATACCCTCCAGAAAGCAACAGAGATCACAGTCTTGGAAAGAGTACTCAATTTTTAAGAATCCAAAGACCAGGGATTTTATTCCATCTTCATAACTCATTAGCCAAGCAACTTTGGTAAAATACTTGGTCGTTCTGGATCTATTTGCTCATGTGCAAACATTATTATTTTGATCTCTACCCTGTCTATGCCTCAAGGCTACAAATATAAATTATGACAATGCATGTGAAACAATTTTGGAAAAAATCAGAAAATTCCATAAAGATGCAGGTTATCAACATAAAAAGTGGTAGACTTTGATTCTCCAGAAAGATAGGATTCAGAAAAGAAATGAAATAATCAGTGATGAATAATGCTGGCTTAAATTGTATGCTAATTTGCAAGATTCCCAGTTAGCCTCCCCTAAGCGTGTTTAAACTCACTGGCAACGATCAAACTGAATGCAATCGACTTACTTCTGGAGGCTGAAGAGTTCCTCACGGCTGTGAAGGAGTCAGCACTCGGCCTGGCTGCTGCAGAAGACGAACGGGGTGAGAGCATCTCCGAAGCTGATTCTGAGGATGGCGTCGCAAGGAAGGGTGCTCCGCCACTACATATCTTCCCAACACCTGGCAGAAGGGTGACAGGGACTCTTCAAAGGAGACAAGCACAAAAAAGCGTATCAAAATATGCTTATGAAGCGTCTGTGAAAAATATAGTTGCTGTTAACTGAGTGATCAATCGCAAACTAGATCAGGAATATCACTAAGTAGAATTTAAATAGATTTGCATAATAAGGCTTTGCAGTGGAATGTGCAATATGCTCTGATTCCAATAGATATGTCAGCATTCTGCTTTTCACTTTTGGAAGTTTTCTTATCTCATAACTGAAGATAGGTAAAAAAATCAATGAGACATGGTTCAATTTTCTTTATATTTCAATTAATTCAACTTGCAGGCTAATGTTTGAAAAACTTCATAAATCAACAAACGTTCCCCATCACCTACTATGTACCAGAGGCACGGTGCTGGGCACATAGCAGAGAACGGAGCTCACAAGTCCTGCCTTCATGCAGCCAATAGTCCTATGTCATCTTGCCTGTATTTTCTTCAATAGAGAAAATCTATTTCAACACATAAGACTACAGAAGAAATACACAGATGTACCATTTGTATCTTAACTTCATGTCAGAAGACTGCTGATTTCTACCTATTTCTGAGGTTCCATGTCAATCTAAAATAGCAATCGACCCAGCTCTGTGAGACTGTATTTAACTTTCTTTCCCTAAGATCTATATAATAGTTCAATTGATATTCAACCACTGTCACTGTTAATGCAGAAATAGGCTGAGCTTTTTAAAATGTTCTCGAAATGCACAAAAGCATTGTAATTTTACTTTGGCTATGACTTATTTTATCTGCAGAAGCAAACATGGGGAATGATACAATTCCAAAGTATAATAAAAAGCAGAGAGAAGATGATACACCAACGACTCTTTTTTAAAGATGTGTGAATGATCTTATAAAGCCAAAATTTAAGAGGGTGCTTATAGTGTCCTGAAATATCCAATAATTAGGACTTTTATTTATTTATTTATTTATTTATTTATTTTAATTAACTAATTAATTAATGTATTTATTTTATTTTTTAAAAAGTTCAGCTATTTCCTTAATTAATACTGAATTGACTCAGAAATGCTAAAAAATCAATGCACAGGTTCATGGTAAAGTTGAATAAAAGTAAATTATAGTTTATTTCAAGTTATTTTTATGAATCTGTCAATCAATGCTATTTTTCAAATTTATATTTATTATTAAAGATGTTTATTACAGAGTTAAAGAATAACTCAGACATACCCCCCACATGCGAATATAAGTTAATTGTATGCCAACCACCCTGAGATAGCTATTGTTTTCCTTTGCATTTATTTCATTCCATGAATATTTTAAACTAATTTTTACATTTATATATGCGTGATAAAAATACAAGAAATCCAAAAGTAAATCACCCTCCAAAGCAAGATATATCGCCTCAGGAAGAACCAATTTCACGTTTCAGAAATATTTCATCTCAGAAATATTACATGCATAATAAGCGTGTGTGTGTATGTAGATTTTTATACACATATGAGAATACTCTACCCTGTTTTGCCCTTTTCCTTTCATTTAATACGTCATGGAGCTCATTCCATTTCTGTCTTCTATCACCCACTCATCCATCCTGTCAGTGAATATCTATCACACACACACAACATAATCAGCTCATAAAGTGTCCCAGTTGAAAATTAGAAAGTTTCCAGGATTTTGTTATTATAAAAATGATATTATCCATGTCCATATACAAGCATCCATGCACACACGAGTGAATACATGTCAAATGAATTCCTAAAAGTAAAACGTTTAAGTCAAGAAGCCTCCTCGTTTTTGAAACTGATTATGTTCCCTTCTCTGTAGGAACGAGGTAGTATAAAGCAAGAGCAAATCTGAATTTATAACAATGTTTTATATTATTGCCTTATGCTAGAAAAGCATAAATACCTCTAATTATTATGCTAACAAAAAAGTGGATTGATAATCAACAGTATTTCCAAGTCTTCACTTTAACATAGTAACTGCCACAATCCTATCTAAATTCCAATTCCCCAGAGAAAGTTCTTTTTATGTATGGTTACATCATTTAACAACAATAACATTTTCCTTTTTTTTATAATGTTTTACTAAGCACTTACTATGTGCCAGCTACCAAAAAACATGTATTAACTGAGTGATCAATCACAAACTAGATCAGGAATATCACTAAGTAAAATTTAAATAGATCTGCATAATAAGGCTTTGCAGTGGAATGCGCAATATGCTCTGATTCCAATAGCTGTGTCAGCATTCTGCTTTTCACTTTTGGAAGTTTTCTTATCTCATAACTGAAGATAGTTAAACAATCAAAAGAGACATGGTTCAATTTTCCTAAGATTCCCCCAGGAATCAAAGGAGGTAAATACATATTTCTATATACTGCTATAAAAGGCAGGGATAGAGTAGGTGAACTAACCTTGGCAAGCTCATACATCTAGTACCTGGGGCTCTCCTTGGGCTACCTCACTCTATATTAATCCTCTTATATCTCTTGATGCAAGTGTAGATTTCACAAAACCATTACAGGATTCTATATAAAGAAATGCAAATAAGGTGCCATATTTTCTTCTTAGTCTATATATTTTGGCGAGTGCAACGTAAAAATAAGAGATTTTAGACTGAGATTCTAATACTGCAATTTTCCAGTGTGATCTTATAAAGATTTCCTTTTCTTCTTGAGAGCATAGTGAAATAAAACATTTTAGGAGAATTTCTGATCAGTTCCTTGGTTCCAAATTGTTGCTATGCTGGCCTTCTTCCAGCCTTAGAAAATTTGGCAACTGTTATTGCTTATGTACATGTATTCCCAATAAATATGGTTCCCCCTCTAACAATTATCTTGGATGCCAATACTGAATTCTGAAAGAACTCAGGAAACATGGGCAAAATTCTGGAAGTTATTAGTGAATATCTTCTTAAAAACTGAGAATCATGACCCCTTCCAGGTCCTTCCCCGCTACAACGTACCGTCTTCCCCCTACAACGTCTCTCTAAGTGTACATCAGTTGGCCAAACTTACACTTTGATTTGATCTCACTATCAGTAAGAGCAGGACTTTAAAGTCTTGTGAACCTGGGTTGGAATCATAGCTATGACCATATTACTCAGTTTTCTTTTTTAAAATGAGAAAACAATGTTATAAAAAGTTGAAATTATTTCAAGGCATATTATGTCTGAAAGTACCAATCATGGTGCTTCATTCATTGTAGGTATGCAATAATGTTATTTCCATCAGGAAGTTCTTCCCAAGGCTGCCCTAAGTTTTAACCCAGTGAACACTAAGGAAATCCTTGAAATATTTGAAGATAACAGTAACATAATCATAAGTATTCCTTCTAATTTAAAGATCCACAGAACTTGAACTATTATGAAGCCATCAAATGGTATCATTAACGATCTTTCTCATGAGGGAAGTATTCTACATTAGTCTTTAATTATATTTACCTTGTGCTGAAAATGATTAAAAATTAAACATTTAGTCGTCCAGTTATTTGATCTACATGATGCAAAAATCCAGCTGTTTTGAAATATGTAAACAAATGAATCATATGGTTTCACTGAAACTCATTCATTCAATCATTCACTATTTAATAATCATATAATAATATATTGTTCGGCATGATATAGCCACGATCTTTAGTGGTCTACTCCAGAAATGAGGGTAAAATATAAGAAATCCTATTTTGTTAAGACAAATAACTTGAAAAAATTTGGACCAGAAACATAGGATGAAATTGAAAATTATTTCACATTAATGAGTTTTTTAAAAGCATAAATATTCAGAGGAATTCATATAAATACTATTACTAAAACATGTTGCCTCATCACCAGTACTGCTAAACCTCATCTAAAAATTAAATTAGAGACACTGATTGAATATGGAAATGCACTTATGTTATTGGATAAAAGTGTAGTATCATATGCTCAGCTGTAGGAAAATGTTTACAAATTATTATACACATCCAGGATCACATGATAAACAAATTAATGCATCACTAGAGCATTTATTGCTTAATGTAAATGTCACATTGCAAATGAAAACAACTAATCACTCCTTTCCTCTAACAGCAAGAGTTCAGCAGTTAAATAAAGCATAAATCTCAGGGACCTAAAAATTGTATTACTGCATTGGTAATATCCCGTTAGCAACACAAGAAAATAACTTTAAGTGATGCGGTATTTCAGTTAGTTACAACCCAAGGTGAAGAGCCTTTCTGAGAGGGGCAGAGGCTGGGCGGAGGCGGTGTGGGCTTTGTATTGCTTTTTTAAGGAACTAACTCATTCACTAAATATCATAATGACAGTCTAAGTAATGACTTTTCACCATGAAAACAGATACTAAATTACTAACTGATTTTGTGAAGAAACAAAATGCATTATCACAATTTGAGTTTAATTACAAAAATTCTAACTCCTGGATTGTGGTTGCAACATTCTTATGCAACAATAAAAGAAATGTAAAATGAAGCTCAAACGAAGATTTTGAGCTAATGAAATATTTTTCGTTGTATAACTAATATTTTCTTAAATGATAGTATCAAAAGAATCCAAAATAGTAACAAAAACTACTTCACTATACAAATCCTTCACAAAATAAATTTACTCTGCTAAAAGTTTCCTTGAAATTTCTTTGACTTTCAAAGTTCAGAAAACATTTTTTTCTTCCAAAAGACAATTTTGAGAAGCACGTCTCCACCCCTTGGTGAAGTGACAGAATTTTCCTTTTACTTTTTCCTGTCCTAGCTCATGGTCAGCTCTGACAAGATAACTGTCAGTCCTACTCTGCTCCTTTGAACACAGGGGAAAATATAATGCAACATTCTTGATACTCTTAGTGGTTCAGCAAAAGTCGGAAGACAAATATGGTCACACTAACCTGCACGTCAGTGTGTCACCTTGGTCGTGATCTTTTTCAATTAAAAGAGAATACCAGCAAGTTCTTGTTGACACAATGTTTATTTAACTATGCGTATCTCCATAGAGCCTTTCCTTCTCTCCGCGCTCACTCCTTTCTTCTTCCCT